ACCCCCACCCCCCCAGCGCCTCTTCCCTGCCCCCAGCCTCTGGCCTAGCATTTCCCAGCGTGGCCAATACTGCCCCCTGGGGGTGCTGGAGCCCCAGTGCAGTCGGGCACTTTCTCTTGGCGTGCGTAAAGGGAGATTCGGGAGCTTCTAAATTAGGGCACGAATGAGTTGACCCCCCCCCCCCCCCAGCAACAGGGGATGGAGGGGGGCATCTTCTGCCGGAGTCTCCTGGCCCCGCATGGTAGTCTAAGACACTAAGCGACTTTTTAAAAAATATATTGCATTGAAAATATTTGCCTCTCCCAGCTGAGCCCTGTTAGGAAAACAGTGAACTGAGGCTGGAAAGATAGTGCCGGGCTTTTGCCTTGCACGTGGCCAAGCTGGGTTCAATCCCCTGCATTCCTTACGGTCCTACAAGCACCACCGAGTGATTCCTGAGCACAGAGGCAGGAGTATCACCAAGTGCCGCCCAAAAACAAACAGAGAGAGAGAGAGAGAGAGGGAGGAGAGGAGGAGGGACAGAGAAGGAAGGAAGAAGAGAGAGGGGGAAAGGAGGAGGCGAGAAGAAAGAAGGTTGGAAGGAAGAAGAGAGAAAGAGAAGGAAGAAGAGAGAAAGAAAGAAAGAAAGAAAGAAAGAGAGAGAGAAAGAGTCAGGGAGAGAGGGAGAGATGGAGAGAGACAGAAAGGGAGAGAGAGCGCATGTGCCAGCCAGCTTGCTGAGGTCAGGGCAGCCCAAGCATGGGTGCCTGAGGCCCCTTCTGAGGGGGGCAGCGCCCTCCCCCCGCCAGGTGCATGGTCCCCACTCTAGCCGCACCCAGAGGCTCCCAGACCGAGTGGGAGCAGCAGAAGGGCCTGAGCACGGCCACGTCTGCCCCTCGGCTGCAGGACTGGGCGGGGGGGGGGGGGGGGGGTGCCGTGCGCTCTGGCAGGCAGTATAGGCTGGGCATGGGACCCTTGACCCCTCAGCTCCCACATGCTCAGGAACATGCCTGTGTTGGTGTGCGACCAGTATTGCCCCATGATAAACGCTTACAAACAAAACCAGCCCGGGGCTGGAGTGATAGCACAGCAGGTAGGGCATTTGCCTTGCATGCGGCCAACCCAGGTGCTATTCCCAGCATCCCATAGGGTCCCCTGAGCACCGCCAGGAGTAACTCCTGAGTGCAGAGCCAGGAGTAACCCCTGTGCATTGCCAGGTGGGACCCAAAAAACCAAAAGGAAAAAAAAAGCCAAACAAAACCGGCCTCTCCGGTGGTTTCCAAGCCGTGTCTGTCTCCCTTTTTTTTGACACATGGCAGAGGATTGAATCCAGGGCCTCATGCATGCAACTGACCCCAAGATGCCTCTGCCGAAACGTTTCAGATACAAGACTGTGCCCCCCTACCCCATAAATTAAACTTCACAGCGTCTCTGAACACCCCAGGGGCCAGTGGGAAGCAGGGTCTCAATCCTTCGCTGGGGCATCCCACAGAGCAGCGAGCCCAGCAAGGAGGGCACAGACCCTCCGACAGGCTGGGCTGGCAAGGTAGGTGAGGTGCCTGGAGGTTTCTGCCAGCCTGAGATACACCCTGGGCACTTCCAGGGAGTCCCCCTGGAAGGGGGGTGCAGGGGTCCTCACCCTCTCCTCCCGTGCCTGCTCAAGGCTCATGTCTCCTAGTGTGTCTCGGGATTCACTCATGGGGGACTGCGGGGACCTATGGGGTTCAGCTCAGTGTCAGGATCCCACATTGTGGGGTCAAGGAGAGAGAGAGCTGTGTCCATTGCCCCCTGTACCCCGGGGCTAGGCCCCTGGTCTCTCTGTGGAGGGTGTGGCTAGGAACTAGCCCTTTGGGCTACAAGAGCCCCAGAACCGGGAACAAAGGCCCCCTCCTGCCTGGGGCCACTGGGGCAGGAAGTGATGCATCTAGTGAGTGGTCCATCATGCCCCCCAGACCCCCATCCCCAACCCCACCCTCACCCCACTCCCTCCAGCCCCAGGCAGGCCACCCACGGCCTTGCCCCTTCCCCCGGCCTTCTGTCTGCGTGTCTTGGGCAATGGGTTGTTGGAGCATCTGTGATTAAGTAGCCAGACAGGAACTGGAAGAAGGTCGGCTGAAGCACTGTTAGTGATGGTGCCAGCCCTCGCTCGGGTGCCGGGGAAGCCCCGTGCTTCCAGGACTCATCGTCTGCTTATAGCTTGCCCGTGAAACTCTCTGGGGAATCACTGTTCCCTGCAGAGTCCCCTTGTCGCTCAGAAGAGAACTTCCCAGGAAGACATGGCAGGTGTTATCGGGGATTCTGTCCCCATTGGCAAGCCCTACCTGATTCTCCTGCTCCCCTCGCCCCTGCGTGCCCCCCACTTCCGAATACACTGTATCGGGGTCCTGGGCCCTGGCTCATCTCTCTTGACCCTCCTGAGACTAAGCTCAGAGCCGCCTCTTCTGGCAGGAGATATCTTGGCTCTTTGGGGTCTCGATGCTTTGGTGTAAAGACGTACCCCCCAGGGCTGGAGTGATAGCACAGTGGGTAGGGCGTTTGCCTTGCACACGGCCAACCCGAGTTTGATTCCCAGCATCCCATATGGTCCCCCGAGTACCACCAGGAGTAATTCCTGAGTAAAGAGCCAGAAGTAACCCCTGAGCATTGCCGGGTATGATGCAAGAAAAAAAAAAAAGACGTACCCCCCTAGACAGAGCCCAAGCTTCAAGTTCAAAGATGCATCTGTCTCTGGGTCAGGGACAAAGAACAAGCATTAAGGTTCTCACCTTGCACGCGGCTGACCCAGTTTCAATCCCTGGCACCCCATGTGGTCCCCCAAGCACCACCAGGAGTGATCCCTGAGTGCAGAGCCAGGAGTAAGCCCTGAGCATCACCGGGCATGCCCCCAAAACCAAAAGATGCATCTATCTCTTTGCCCCCAGCTGGTTCTGGCCTGCCCAGGTCCACACAGAACAGGGAGGCTGGCAGGAAACCCCAAACTGCCAGCAAGCAAGGAATATGGGGTCAAGTGCCGAAGAAATGGGCCCCTGGTGGCCGGTGTCTCTCCTGCCCCTGCCCCTGGCATGTGGCATCCCCTGAGCTGGGCCTGGCTCCTGGCCCCAGCCCCAGGAACTGTGGGAAGCGGGTCTGTGGAGAGACAGCAGGGTCCTTGGAAGGGCACACAGTGTCACGCACAGGACAGTAGCTCCATGCGGTGGGAGCCATGCAAACACCATACCCTGGAAGGGTTCGTTCTAGAAATCACTGTAAATCACACATTCAGCATGTTTCTAAGAGGCCCAGAGGCAGGTTCCTGGACTCTGCCGCCTTGTGCAACCAGCGGCCGCCAAAGCCGAGGGGCAAGGTCCACCCCCTCCCTGGGCGCCGGCGGACACGCCCATTGGTCAGTTTTCCTCTGCGTGTAGCCAAGTTTGCACCTTTGAATGTAGATTCCACCTTGGGCGTCTAGTGCTCAGAGGAGCCCCAGTTCCTGCACTCCACACAGACGTCGGGCCTGGGCCCGGCCCTGCCCTGCAGTTTCCTCCCCTCGGCGGTCTCAACGCTCCCTTCCCGGGAGGTGCTGTCCATGGAGCTGGCCAGTGGCACCACCTCCACCTCCACCTCAGCCTGCAGCTCACACTCATCCCAAGTGGCTCCCGGGCTCAGTGCTCCATGCTGGAGCCCCTGTTCTTTCTAATCAGCCCATCCAGCCAGGCAGGGCAGCATGGCCCAGGGACGGCAGCCAGTCGGCCTGATGGGATGATCTCACCCTGGACGTGACATTCGGGGCTCAGTGCGCCACACAAGTGTCAGAGCGGAAAGCATCCCTGACAGGTTCTGACATGGGGTCTCAGACCCACGCGCTGCTCTCAGGCCAAAGCCCTTCTCGTGGGGCTGGAGCGATAGCACAGCAGGTACGGCTTTTCCCTTGCTCGCAGCTGACCCAGGCTCGATTCCCAGCATCCCACATGGTCCCCCGAGCACCGCCAGGAGTAATTCCTGAGTGCATGAGCCAGGAGTAACCCCTGAGCATCGCCGGGTGTGACCCCCCCCCCAAAAAAAAAGAATTTGAGCCTCCAGCAAATAGGGCATTTGCCTTGCATGCAGCTGAACCCGGGTTCGATCCCCAGCATCTTATAGGGTCCCCCAAGCAGTGCCAGGAGTGATTCCTGAGTGCTGAGACAGGAGTAACCCCTGTGCATTTCTGGGTGTGACCCAAAAAGAAAAAAAAATCGAGCTTTGGCCTTTGTGTCAGGATAAAGGGGGCTGAGTGCCAGGACCGGACGTGACACCCCAAAGGTCAGTCCCAGGAGGGGTTGTAGACCCCCTGGTCCCCACCAGTAGCTCTGAGGGGAGACTCCCATCTCAGCAGTGTCCAGGAACCCCATGCCCGCCACCTTCCACACGGTTCTAATTTCAGCCATTCACAGCTCACTTCTGAAATAGCATCTCCCCCGTGATTGTGTGTGTGTGTGTGTGTGTGTGTGCGTGTGTGTGTGTGTGAGCACGGGACCGACGTGAGAACAGGCAGAGCCTGTGTCCCGGCTCTCACCTCTTCCGGGCAGACACAAACGGGCAGGCCAGCCGACGCGGGTCGGGGAGGCTGATCCCTGAACCAGCTGAGGCAGGAGCAAGGCTGTGAAATGCAGGGTGCCCCTCTGGGCAGCTGGGCAGAGGGGCTCCGTGGTGTTCAGAGGTCGTGTCCACGTCTACAGCCCTGAGGGTCGCTTGACTCCCGCCAGGAGCCCCCTGCCCGGGCGGGTCAATACATGCAGCGCTGGGTGTGATGGGTGGATTCTTCCCGACCCCAGTGTCCCCGCGGCTCCCCGGCCTCACTCCCGTGGCCCCCGGCATTTCTGCCCCTGCTGTGGGGGTTCGAGGCTCCCCCAGAGAAGCGCCTGGTGCCCACACAAGAGCTCAGAATTCACAGTCGATGGGAGAGCGACCATGCCGTGACCCCCAAGACAGACCTGCCCTTCTGGGCAGGAGCCAACCACCCACGGGCCCTCTTCACCCTCACCCGTGTCTCCCCTGCCCTCTAGGTCCTCGCCGCGAAAGTGCTCAACTTCGTCATGCCGAACATGTCCCTGGGGCCCATCGACTCGAGCATGCTGTCCCGGAACAAAGCCGAGGTGAGACGCAGCCTCTGGTTCTGGGCCGGGTGGGGCGGGCCCAGCTCTGCGCACATTGGCCACTGACCGGATGCTTGCATCTGGGACCTCCCTGCAAGCGACCAAAACCCACAGCCAACGATGAAAGCCAGAAGAGCACTGTGGGGGAGGGTAGGCACAAGCCCCTGATGCCAGCAGAGCCAGGTGTGGGGGTCTCGGTGCTCGGGGCCTCTCGCGTACCTTGATTCCAGGCCACCAGTCCCAAGCAGAGGCAGAGATGGCTGGTCCCTCAAGGTGGATTGTCACTATTGCCCTAGAAAGGGGGGGTGTCTACCCCGCCCTGCCTCCCACACAGAGTAGAGCCCAGTTCCTGCAGATGGAAGGACGGACATGGGCCAAGTCCAACATCCTATGTCCACCCATGGACAGGGCAGGGCGGGGTGGGCGTGACTGCAGAGGTGGGGTGATCAGAGGAAGAAAGTTCAGAGATGGGGCTGCCAGAAGGGCCCCGTTCACAGGACAACCAAGAATCTGGTCGGCCAAGCCCTACCAGGCAGCAGTTAAGTGGCAAGTGGGTGAACTGAGGTAAAATGATAAGGTACTTCACGAACCCCGTCCCCAGAAGCCACTTCCCCCTCCCCCCAAGTGTAGGGGAACAACAGTCATGCCAGGACCCCCAGAGCAGCTTTGCTTTTTCAAATCTGAGCCCCTGGGGCACTCCATGGGTCAGAAGCCCCTTTGGGACCTCCTTCTGTTTATGACTCAGGGGTCACAGAGAGGGAGCCGGGTGCTGAGAACAACCTTGGCAGGCAGGAGCTCCGGGTTCAATCCCCAGAACCTTGCAAAAACAAAAACAACGAACAAACAAAACGAATCTAAGCAAACAAAAAAGAAAACCAAATAGCAGAGAACAGGTTGCATGGAAAAAAAAAATACCAACTTAGGACCCAGAAAGACCAAAGTCAGGCGTGCTGTCGTGCTGAAGTTCGACTTGAATGAGGTTGACAGCGCCCCCATTTCACAGATGAGGAAAGAAAAGATCCAAGTTCAAGTCACCTGTCCCGGGGCGTGGATCAAATCACAGCCGAACCCGTGTCATTCACAAGCCCCTTAACCCCTGAGAGCCAGCACTGCCCCGTGAGGCACTCGGCCATTCCATAGGGAGGGACCATGGCTGCAGAACCACAGTTCCGCGTACCACATGCCCTGCGTGCCACCCTCAGTGCCATGCTCCATGTGCCACGTTCCGTTTGCCGTACTCGTGTACACGTGCGTGCCATGCTCTTAAGTGTATACCACACTCGTGCCACGCTCGCTCTGGGGTGGATCTGAGTAGCGGGGCCCCAGCCAGCCTCCTCTCCCGTAGAATAGCTGTGGCTTCAAAGTGCAGCCCTGGGGCTGGAGTGATAGCACAGCGGGTAGGGCGTTTGCCTTGCACGCGGCCGACCCAGGTTCGATTCCCAGCATTCCATATGGTTCCCCGAGCACCACCAGGACCAATTCCTGAGTGCAGAGCCAGGAGTAACCCCTGTGCATTGCCAGGTGTGACCCAAAAAGAAAAAAAAAGTGCAGTCCTAGTAAAACCAGTTATCTCTGCAGCAGCAGCAGGGGAACAATAATGGAGAGAGAGAGAGAGAGAGAGTGAAAGGGGAGAGGAGAGAGAGAAGGGGGAGAGAGGAGGGAGGGGAAGGGAAGGGGGAGCGGGAGAGAGTGAGGAAGGGAGAGGGGAGAGAGAGGAAGGAGACGCACCTTTGAGACCTTCAAGACGTCGAGGTGCAAACCCCAAGGTGTGTTTGTCTTACACCAGGGTCCAAAGGCAAAACAGAAACAGTCAGAGAAATGATTCCAGATCCGCTTTATTTCAGAGTGGCTCATTTCCGAGCCCTTGCTTTTGGAATCATGAAAAATTCCACTGGGGACCTCGTCCCCCCACCCCTCCCTGCCCCATGTGCCCCGCTCCCCGATTAGCAGGGCCAGCACATGCACAAGTGAGCTTGACTTTGGTGTGGTTCTGGTTTGCTTTCCGGGGGATGGGGAGTGAGTCATCCCCAGCTGTGCTCAGGCCTCACTCCTGGTGGGCTTCTTGGAGGGATGCCTGTGGGATGCCAGGGATCGAACCCGGGTCAGCTGTGTGCAAGGCGAACCCCCCCCGAACCCCTGTTGTGCCCAGAGCTCACTGATGATGTTTCTTTCTGTTGTTGATTACAAGGAGGTGACAACAGGGGGCGCTCGTTTCACCTGGCAGGTGGTGGGAGGGGGTTTCCCCGGGGTTCCCAGGCCAGGCCCGGGTGCTCACGCTCAGCCAAGCTGACACGGGGTCTTTAGCCCTGCTGACGTGTGTCATCATGCAGCTGACGGTGGAGAAACACACCGTGGCTACCTCGCGGCCGCCTACCTGCCCTGATGCTTGTGTGGGGTTCTTTTACATCTGTGGCCGTGCTCGCCACGGGGTCCCACCCCCTTTTGTGGTGTTTGCCCACGCCTGACTGTGTCACGGTGGGGAAGCACAGGCCACACTGGGGGTCCCAGGCCACTGAGCTATCGGGATCACACTTAGCGTGAGTGGGGAAGCCAGGCTGCAACCCTGAGACCACACCTGGGCCCAGAATTTCACAGCAGACCTTTGGGGTCAGAGTCTGGATTTTTGGTGGCCCCGCAAGTGAAGTAGGTCACTTGACCGTTTGAGGCAATTGCTCAGCCGATGTGGGACTTTTCTGAGCACTTTGGCTTGGGTTTATTGATTTAGCTCTTTTGAAGAAGCCGCACCCAACCGTGCTGCGGGGTGGGGTGGGGGTGGGGATCAAACTCGAGGCCTTGCATGAGCTCAGCCCCCTCCCCTAAACAGCTGATCTATGGAACGGCAAGCTGTTCCGGCTGGAAACAGGAGTTGCGGGAGCTCCCCTACACCCCAAGAACCAGCCCTCCCGCTGCTCTGAGCCTCCTTTGAACATGCTGCTAAGCTTTTAAAAATAGCAGCTCCGAAAGGCGTCGCTGGCTGCTGCCCGCGGGGCCAGACACAGCCCGCACTGTGCTCGGAGGCCTCAGGAGGGAGACGCTGCCCCAGAGCACAAGTGTGGGGGCAGGGTCCCACGCGGGTGGGGGCGACCCCTCCTCTCGGGAACGGCCTCGCTGCGAGAATGCCCAGAGCAGGATTCGCTGGGGAGTCACCCACCGTGGCAGGGGTCCTCACAGCGCCCCAGGGACTGCACAGGCCCCAGCACCCAGCTTCCTGCCCACAGAGGCGCTCCCTGCCCAGCCGTACGTCCCAGGACCCCGGGCAGCACCCCGCCCCCTGCCCCCAGCCCAGCCCGGCCTCCAGAACCCTTCTGCCCAGCTCCTGGAAGTCCATGTCAGTACCAGGCTTTGCATTTGTGGACGCTGAGGCCCAGGAAGGGCAAGTCCCTGGCCTAAGCAGACGCAGCCAAGTCAGAACTAGCACCCAGATTCGTCTACTCCCAGCCAAGTGCTCTTGGCACTGAAATCCTGAGAATTTAAATAAAGGTTGCTGGGGGGGCGGAGAGGGTAGGCAGAGAGATGGAACAGCACGGAGGGCGCATGCTTTGCACACGGCCCAACCGGTGCCAGCGCTGGCACCCCAGATGGTCCCCCGAACCCCACCAGAAGTGATCCCTGAGCACTGTCGGGTCTGCCCTACACTGCAAAAGGAAAAAAAAAAATTCCAGCCAAGCACTTCCTGTTTGCCTCCACATTCCCTGGGCTGAGCTCTGGGGTATGACACAGTAATGATGCCACGCCCGCCCAGCAGTGGGGCTTTCGGGATTCAGTGCCCTTCCTCCCCCCCAAGAAGCCTGGAAGGTTCTCCAGACCTCTCCAGCCAAGAACCCATGGGGAAAGAGGAGGGTCTGTCCCGAAACCCCAGGGCCTCCAGCCCAAACACCGTCAGTTCCGAGCCCCTGGGTACGGTGCTTCAGGGATTGGGTGGTAGCCGGAAGCCTTGACCCAACCCTTCCATGTCATCCCTTACTGAGGCCCTACACAGTGGTCAGGATCCTTCCAGAACCAAGTCCCCATTCCCCATATGCACACCCAGTACTGGTTTAGGTCCCCACTGGTGGGCCGCATGGCACATTCAGGGCTCCCCAAGAGCTTTGAGGCTTGGCCCTCCGCTCCCCTTATTCCCACCTCGCCCCCGCCCCCATCTTTCCAATGCTCTCCATCCCATTCCCTAGGGAGGCCGCATTCCTCAGGGCCCTTGGCAAGGTCCCAATGGGTCCTGAGAAGCTCAGCCCTGGTGAGGCTGCGGGCTGAGTGTCACTCCAACTGAAAACAGCCCCACTCCCCTGAATTACTCCTGGTGGTGCTCGGGGGACCCTGTGGGATGCTGGGAATCGAACCCAGGTCTGCCGTGTGCAAGGCAAACGCCCTACCCGCTGTGCTATCGCTCCAGCCTTTTAAAACAACATTGCACCTGCCCCCAGCCCCAGCCGCTCAGGGATGCCCCATCGAGGGGACTGGCTGACTGGCATAGTTTTGTTGGAAGCAGCTAAAAATTGACCAGTTTTTTTTTTTTTTTGGCCTTTTGGGTCACACCCAGCGATGCACAAGAGCTACTTCCAGCTCTGCTCTCAGGAATGAACCCCTGGCGGTGCTCAGGGGACTACCAGGGATACCGGGGATCCAGACAGCTGGGTTGGGATGCCTGCGTATGGAGGGGTCCCCCTCACCCGATTTTTATTTATTTTTGCTTCTTGGGTCACACCCGGCGATGCACAGGGGTTCCTCCAGGCTCTTCACTCAGGAATTACTCCTGGCGGTACTTGGGGGGACCATATGGATGCTGGGAATCGAACCCGGGTCTGCTGCATGCAAGGCAAACACCCTACCAGCTGTGCTATCACTCCAACCCCTGGTCCTCAAACTCTTTACCCCATCAAAAGCAGCCTTTTAAAGCAACATCTCCCAGCTCCCAAGGGAGGGCGGGGCGTGAGTGAGTGGCCCTGCCCAGTCTTCCGGTCTCCTGTTCCCCTAAATGCCTTTGCTCCCCGCCTTCCTTCTTGCTGGGGGGAGGGGGCACAGGAGGCAGCTCCGAGCAGCGGAATAGCCCCCCACAGAAAGCCAGTGGCGGGGCTGGAGCGATAGCACAGCGGGGAGGGCATTTGCCTTGCAACCGGCTGACCTGGGTTCGATCCCCAGCATCTCATATGATCCCCCGAGCACCGCCAGGAGTAATAATTCTTGAGTGCAGAGCCAGGAGTAACCCCTGTGCATCATCGGGTGTGACCCAAAAAGCAAAAAGAAAAAAAAAAGAAAGAAAGAAAGAAACCCAGTGGTTCTCTAGAGACAGGGGTACCCCGACACCAGCCAGACCTGAGACAAAAAATAAGGAGATCTTCATGGGGCTGGGGGGCGGTATGGCTCCCTGTCAGAGAGCCTGGGGCTGCAGACCCCAGGAACACAGTGGCCGCCCGCAGCCTCTAGAGCCCCTTCCCCCAGAGGTGTCAGCCGCCAAGATGAGGAAAGTGAGTGAAGGGGTTCAGTGGCCTCACCCCTGCCCTCGGGGGAGGCTGTGAGAGTCTAGAAATGTCTCACCCACATTCTACAAGGCAGATGCCCCATCTCTGAGTTGACAACTCAGCAGCTAGAGGCAGGAGTCAAGCCAGAACCCATTTGGGCCAGGGACAGCCGGGTGGGAGGGGTCAGGCTCTGAGCCATGCCCAGGGAGGGTGCGGGGTGAGGGCCCCCAACAGTGTGGCCAGAGGTCTCCTGCCCCCCCATAACCTCCCTCCTCCGCGTGGCCCACAACTGCTCCCGAGCCCCAGGGTGGTATCCTGCACGGGGTCCTTGGGGTCCTCACCCACTTCCTGGCGTTGCCCCTTCACCCCTGCAGCTGTGCGGATGCGTGTCAGGGCCCCGCTCTGCCGGGGCCGACCCCAGTCCCGTGGGAAGGAGCCCAAGCGAGAGCCACGAGGGGCAGGTGGAGGGTGAAGGGGACCCCTCCCTCCCCCAGCGCCCCCCCGGCCCGCCCCAGCCTCAGCGCCGCCTCGCCCACAGGTGGACATCTACAACGCCGACCCGCTCATCTGCCACGCGGGCCTCAAGGTGTGCTTTGGCATCCAGCTGCTGAACGCCGTGTCCCGCGTGGAGCGTGCCCTGCCGAGGCTCACGCTGCCCTTCCTGCTGCTGCAGGGCTCGGCCGACCGCCTGTGCGACAGCAAAGGGGCCTACCTGCTCATGGAGTCGGCCCGGAGCCAGGACAAGACGCTCAAGGTGATGATGCCCGCGGCCGTCCCCGCCCCCCACTCCCACCGGGCCCTCAGAGGGCGCAGGCTGAGCTCTGAGCAGGGCAGGGAGGGTCCTTCGTCCAGCCCAGGGTCCCAGGGCCACGCGAGGCCTCCTTGGGCACTGGCAGGGGTCTGTGAGCCCGGCGCAGGGGACAGCCACAGCTGGCCAGAGGTCCACTCGGAGAAGAAGGAGGTTCTGGGGCCAAGAGGTGATGGCAGGTCTGGGGCGTAGCAGCCGGACATGCCCGCTGTCCGCCTGGCCCTCACCACTGAGCCCAGGTGACCTCCAGGCGCAATCCTGGTCAGGAGGCCCCCATTGTACGCTCAGCCTTTTCGTGGACACTGAGACCTTGGACTCGGGGACCCTGAGCCACCTCCTGCCGGGAAGCAGGAGAGGGGCCGTGAGTTCCCCACCCCCCGGGCCCGTCCCCACCCCACTGGCCAGTGCTCCATCAGGCGAAAGACCTGGGGTCCCACACAGACCTGCCCGTGACCGCGTCAGGGTGGGTGTGAAGAGCAGGTGGCAGAGATTGGGGGCTGAGCACAAAAGGGACACACCCAGGGGTCCCGCCCCAGCAGCCCCAAACCGCTTGAGGGGTGCCAAGAGCCCTGCAGAGCACAAACGGCCTCCACCTCCAATTCACCCCATCTCTCACCCTGAAACCCGGGCACCAGGCCAGGCCTGGAGGGCCAGAGGGGCAGGAGGGTTCAGGCGCAGGGTCCCCCTGAGGTCCAGCTGAGCTGAGTGAGGGTCAGGGAGAGGGCGGCTGAGTCTCCCACAAAGCAAAACCACCAGGGGGCGCCTCACCCTCTGTCCCAGGCTGGACTGTCTGACCTTTTACCCCGAGTTTGTTGCTTGTTATTTTGGTTTTGGTCTTTTTGTTTTGTTTCATTTTGTTTTGTTGCTTTTGGGGTCACACGCAGCAATGCACAGGGGTTCCTCCTGGTTCAGGCACTCAGGAATGACTCCTGGTGGTGCTCGGGGATGCTGAGAATCGAACCCAGGTCGGCCGCGTGCAAGGCAAACACCCTCCCCGCTGTGCTATCTCTCCAGCCCCATGGTTTTGGTTTTGGGATGCAACAACTTTATTCAAAGGAAAGTGCAATGGAATCTGTTGAAAACTGAAAAGAAAAGTGGCTTTTAGGGCTGGAGCCATAGCACAGCGGGGAGGGCATTTGCCTTGCACATGGCCAACCTGGGTTCAATCTCCAGCATCCCATATGGTCCCCCAAGTATCGCCAGGAGTAATTCCTGAGAGTAGAGCCAGGAGGAACCCCTGAGTATCGTGAATGTGCCACCCCTCCCCAGTTAAGTGGGGGTGGTATTTCGAACCGGCCAGCCCTCAGGTACAGAACCAAGTGCAGAGTGGATTTCCTGTGGACGTCGGAGTAGGACAAGTTGTGTTTGCCCACAGAGACCTGCTGGTTGCGGGGAGGGGGGCGGGGAGGGTGCCCTTCTTGTCCTGGAGTTTGACATTCCCGTGGACTCAGAGCGTTCCACAGACTCCTGGGTATCCCTGCCCTCCTTCACCCTGCTCAGTACCCCATACTTGCCGTCCATCCACTCTGTCTTGGCAGTGCAGGTGGAAAACCAGGAGCCGTTGGTGTTGGCTCCAGCATTTGCCGTGGACAAGAGGCCAGGCCCCAGGTGCTTCGGGATCAGATTCTTGGGGTGCACACAGTCAGAGTTGGTGGGAGGGAAACCTCATGAATTCATTTCCCTCCTGAGGTCTCTGCAGGTTGGAGGGGCTGTGGGTCGCGGACAGACCCACAGCCCTGCCTGGGCACTAGCCCCACAGCGCAGAGGGACAGGCATCCCGGCGTCCATGGACACGTGGCCACACAACGGGGGGGGGGGGGTGCGGTCAGGCTTGGAAGGAGGACACAGACCCCTGCTGCCACGTGGTCAGAGCAGGTCACCGAGGCACAGAGCTCTCGTGTGGTCTGAGCAAGGGGGGGAGGAGGGACGCAGGAAGGGGCGGCGTAAGCTTGTGCTAAGCTTGTGCCACCGCTGACCAGCAGCTAGAAGGGGTGAGTGTCCGAGCAGAGCATTGGCAGCCTGGGTGGAAGATGAGGTCAGCACTGACCCTCACCCTGTGGGGGGGGAGGGGCGAGCGCATCTACCCACACCAGCTGCAGGGGGCGCTGTGGCATCACAGGCTTGTTCAGAGGTTAAGAGGGAGAAGAGCCCAGGGACGAGGGACAGGCAGGGCGTGATTCTGGGTGGTCACCCAGCAGACAGAGACATTGCCATTTTGCAGGCCTCTGGGCCAAGGAGCCACCAGCAGTGGGGATGTCGGTGTGCAGGGCCAGGCTCTTCCCCCCCCAGAGGGGATGCTGGGGGCCCTCCGCCCACCTGAGCTCCGCCCTCTCTTGCAGATCTACGAAGGTGCCTACCATGTCCTCCACAAGGAGCTTCCCGACGTCACCAGCTCGGTCTTCCGCGAGATCAACATGTGGGTGTCTCAAAGAACAGCGGCCGCCAAGGGGTCCTACTCGCTCTGAGTTCCCGGGGAAGGGGCCTCCCGCGGGGTGGGGGGCGACGGGGGCGGTGGGGGCGGGGCCGGCTGCTTGCGGGTGGGGCTTGCAAAACACAAACAAAACAAACCCAGGGGAAGAAACTTGCCCGACGTCGAGGCGTCCCTTAGTGCACCTGACTCAGAAACCAGAACTTGCTCTCAGCCAGCCGCTGGCGCCGCCAAAGGGACAGCGCAGAGCGGGGTGACCGTCCCCCCCCCAGGGGCCATGAAACCGAGCAAAACCTCTGCCCCGGCTCCCCGGTCCCCCCCAACCTCCCCCCTGCCCAGGAACCCTGGAGGGCACCTGATGGCAATAACAGGAGCCTCCCTGGACCCCCAGCCCTCACCCACCTCCGGCAGCACCCCGGGGTAGAGGGGGGGCGGTATACCCCCAAACTTCCAAAGGCACAAGCCCCAGGCTGCGGGTTGCCAGGGGTCCCTGGGGTGCTGAGGGCGGGCTGGAACTGCCCGCCTCCAGGGCTATGTGTATCGGGGTCCCAGCGGGTCCCCGGCCTGGAGAGCTGAAGAAGAGAGTCTAATATATAGAAGAGTCTAAAGCAGAGACTATTTTGCTGACAGGGTGTGGGGGGTCCTGCAGGCCTGGCGCCTCGGGGCCCCTCGAGGGAGCCTGTGCCCGCTCCCCCTGCCCGCCTGCAGCCCGGCTGGCAGGACAGAGACTTGGCCGGAAGGGGGTGCCAGCACCCCCAACTTGCCTTCCCCGCCCCCCCCCCACACACCACTGCCCTCCCTTAGTTCCAGCAATAAACGGGAACCTACCACCAGGGGGCGACATTCAGCTCCTACTTGCACTTGGGACTCGCTGTTACCTCATGAGTCCCCCCCAGAGCCAGTGTGACCCCCCTCCTGTCGGGGGGTCACCTGCTCGGCCTTAGAGCGCAGCGCAAGGGGCCCCAGGGCCCCGGATGAGCTGGCCACCCCCACCCCTGGGAGCTGGGGGCCCTCCCCACGCCCTGTATTTTCAGGGGTGGTTCTGGGTCCCCGCCAGCAGGTGGCGCCCGGCCCTCCTTGAAGGCCTCTCCCGCAGGGGCAGTTTGGGGGGGTCTCTCACCCAGGCCCCCACCCCGGCGGCCTCCGCTGCACCTCCAGCTCCACTTAGGAGCAAACGCCGGCTCAGGAGAGCAGGAGCCTCCACGCTGAGGCCCGGGGCCGCCCCCCTAGAATGTTGGTGGCCACCCAGGCCGCTCAGCGCTGGGCATTGGACCACCCAAGTCGCTTCCATGGACGCCCCCACGTGACTGGGTCACTGCCCCAGAGCCGGCCCCGACCCACCTTCCACAGGGCATGACCAGGGCCCGGCAGCTGGGCTCGGCCTGGCACAGGGCTGAGTGGCACTGCAGGTCCGGAGGGGTCTCTGGGCCATGGGCAGCCTGACCCGGGACATCAGGATGTGGGGGGGGTGGTGAGAGGCTGCCAGACAAACCCCACCTGGGGGTCCCCCAGCCAGGCCTCAACCCCAGCACCTGCCCCACCTGTCCCCCCACCTGTGCCTCTGTGGGCACAGATGAGACGCCTCCTGCACTGGGAGGGGGCTGGGCGGCCCCCCACTTCCCCGCCGTCTCGGGGTGCCGGGTCACAGTGGGAGTCCCCGGCTCGGCTCTGCGCGCCAGGGCCCGTTCTTCCTCTCGCCCACCGAGCACTAGCAGAAACCAGTAGGGTCCCCGCAGCTTCCCAGCAAGTCAGTCTGTCACTGTCCCCGCGGCTCCGCACAGCCCTGCGCCCGGCCAGCCCGCGGGGACGCGCACCTGGTCACAGGAACTGATGTACACCACGGCTAACCCTAATAAACACGTCTCCTGACCGGCCGCCATGTGAGCCTGTGTCCCTGTGTGTCTGTGTGTGTCTGTGGATGCCTGTATGTGTGTCTCTGTGTCTCTGTGTGTGTGGATGCCTATATGTATGTCTGTGTGTCTCTGTGTGTGTCCGTGTGTCTATGTATGTGTGTGTCTCTGTGTGTCCGTGGACGCCTATACATGTGTCTCTGTGTGTCTATATATGTCTGTGTATCTCTGAAAATCTGTGTGTGTCCACGTGTATCTGTGTGTCTGTGTGTCCCTGTGGATGTCCGTATGTGTTTCTCTGTGTCTGTGTGTCTGTGTGCGTCTGTGTGTCTCTATGTGTCTGTGTATCTATAGATGTCTGTGTGTGTTTCTGCATATCTGTGTGTGTCCGTGTGTGAGCCTGTGTCCCTGTGTGTCTGTGTGTGTCTGTGGATGACTGTATGTGTGTCTCTCTGTATCTGTGAGATTCTGTGTGTGTCTGTTTCTGTGTGTGTGTCTATATATGTCTGTGTGTCTCTGCATATCATTGTGTGTCCGTGTGTGCGCCTGTGTCTGTCTGTGTGTCTCTGTGGATGCCTGTATGTGTGTCTCTGTGGGTGTCTGTTTCTGTGCATCTGTGTGTGTGTGTGTGTGTGTGTGTGTGTGTGTGTGTGAGCGCCCTTTGCCCAGAGCTGAGCTCCCACACCCCGGTGCTGAGCGCCTGAGTTCAGGGATGGGGGGCAGGGCAAGTTTGCTCTCTGGAGTGCAAGCTCCTCGAAGCACAGATTTGCTTCCAGGCTCAGCCACTGTGCGGGACGCCCCCCAGCTCTGCGGGGCTGCACCCCCACCCCCACCCCCAGACTCCCAGCAGCCTCTCCAGGCCTGGCCTCTCGGTTTTGTAGTTTGTTCTGGGGGACGCCCGAGCAATGCTCAGGTGCTGCTCTGGGCCCCGGCAGCGCTGGCACCTCTAGGGCTGCACTGGGGGTGTTGGGGGCCCACACGGTGTCAGGATAGGAACCAGACATGCGCCCCAGTCCCCACCCCGCCCCTCTCACAGTCCAAACACCGCCCATTCAGACATCCCATCCCTTCTGCCCTGGAGTCCAGCCGGGCCTCCCTGCTTCCCTCCGCGCCCCGGCCGCCCCTCCTCCTCCGCTGTGGCTCTGTGGCTCCAGCCCCCCTCCTTGCTCCGGGAAGCCGCAGTGCTCCCCGAGTCACCGACCCTGCGCCCACAGGCCCCCAGCCCCCTTCCTCCCCACTGGCCACTGCAAAGTCCCCATGCCCAGCCCAGCCTAGTCACCTCCCTGCCAGCTAACGCTCTGCTGCTTTGCAGGCCACGGGGAGGGGGTGGGGCCCAGGAGGACCCTGTGGAGGGTGGGATTGCACCCTGGAGGCCTGACCCCCGGCCCCCCATGTGCCACCAGGTTGTGTTTACACCAGAGTTGGGTCCACTGTCTTGAAATCCACCATCATTCTGGGGTTTGATCCACGAGACATGAAGCCCGTGCCCGACCATGAAGCCTCTCCCGAGCCCTTTTGGTCACTTCTGTTGCAGGCCCAGGCTCCGTGCCCTGAGCTGGGCGCTGGCAGACTGCATGGGCTCCTGCTGAGGCTTGGGCTGGGGTGGGGGGAGGGGGGCGCTCAAGGTAGGTGCAGTTTCCAGATAAGCCACAAGGGGGAGCCAGCAGCCTGGCAGGGGAGCCTGGCTGCTCGCAGGGGCTGGAGTCAGGCGGCAGCTAAGAGCCAGTGGGGGGGAGGCTGGGGGGAGGGGGGCCTGGAGGGATAGCACAGCGGGTAGGGCGTTTGCATAATAAAAAAAATCAATCTCGGGGCTGGAGAGATAGCTCAGTGTGTAGGGCGTTTGCTTTGCATGCAGCAAACAAGGCCGACCCAGGTTCAATTCCCACCATCCCATTTGATCCCCCGAGCACTGCCAGGAATAATTCCTGAGTATAGAGCCAGGAGTAACCCCTGAGCATCACCGGGTGTGACCCAAAAAGCCAAAAAAAAAGAGCTATTGGGGCTCCCAGGAGTTGGGGGGGAGGCAGCCCCCGGCTCCCTTCCCTTACACCTCCAGTCCTGAGCAGCTGACTTCATGCCGTGGTCCAGCCTCATCCTCACTCCAGGGACAGGAGGGTCGGGCAGCAGCTCCTATCTGGAACCCGAGGCCGGGCGGGAAATGAACCAGGCGCCCACTAGAAAGCAGGACTCAGGGCCGACGGGTGGTACAGCGGGCACTGCCTGGCCCTGCATACCGCGACCCTGGTTCCATCCCTGGTGTTGGGATCGGGAGTTCCCTGGCCCTGGGAGGCGCGGAGAGACCAGATAGACACAGTTCCTGCAGGAGTAAAAACGGGGTTTATTTGCACAAGCAAGGTTATAGCTGGAATCATTAAGCCTTAGGTAATCTCCCTTGACCATCCTCTGTTTTGAGTTACCCAAGTCTGCAGGGTGCTTTAGTGAGACAATACATTCCAGGAAAGGGCAATTTCCCCCAACCACCGCATCCTGAGTTATCCTTTACCCAAATCTGCAGGGTGCTTTACTGAGACAATACATTTCAGGGACAGTAAATACACCTGAAGCCTGTCACACTTGGTTTAGAAAAGAAGTTATGCCCTGTTCACTTTCCAAGTCCCCTCTCCCCCAGGTGCAAAGCAGCCAAGCAGTTTTACAGAAAGCAATGTTGCAAGTTAACTAAAGTACACAAAAATTTGATGCCCTAATATGGATTCTTTCACTGGCACTGCATAGGGTCGCCAGGAGTGACTCCTGAGCACAGAGCCAGGATATAAACAAACAGAACGGAGGAGATTCAGAGCTGGTCCAGCCCCCAGGCTGTACCCAGAAAGGAACTGGGGGGCGGGGGGAGTAGCTGCCTTCCGAGGAGGGGGAGGGGCAGGGGGCCGGGAAGCCGGGACGGCCCCTCTGTCCAGCGTGGTAGACCGAACGAGTTTGGGGAAGCGGAACCAGCAGGCTTGCTGATCAACTGCACTCAAGGACCCAGGAGGCGTCCTGGGAACCCAGAGGCAAGAGGGACAGACTTCTCCAAGGATGGCCGACCAGGCACCTCAGAGTGGGTGTTGAGGGTTACGTCGGGGTTTTGATTTTTGGTTTTAGCCCCCTTGGTTTCCTCCAGGGAGGAGGATATCACAGGAGGGGTGGGGAGGGGTCCCCCAAGTGACCCGGGAGCTATAATTCCTCCAGGACCACCCTAATGCTGGGGGTGGGGAGGAACCACAGGGAACAACCAGACGAGCGCCTGGCCCCTGCACTGTCTCTGGGCCCCTGATTGCACCCTCCCCGGCCCCGCTGGGACAGGGCTGGGCCCCCCGCCCCCTGGAGTTCCCACACCAGCTTTGGGGAGCGGCAGAGTTGCCCTGTAGATATATACCAAAAGAACGACCAAGGGTCTTGGGGATTCTGGCAATGAAAGCGGGTGAAACGCTGAGCTCGGAGACAGTGCCCGACCCGCTGGTCTCCGAGCAGCTGGGCAGTGTCAACTGCCGGCACGGAGACACTGACGCCTTGACCCCAGCACCCCGACCTTTCCCATCAGAAGCCCCTGCTCGGGGCCAGGGGTCGGGAGCAAAGTGGCACACCATCTCACAGTGAGAAACGCTTATGCCCTCGATGTACACTCGGGGCACGGGAGGGAAGGACAAGCCGCGCAGGGAGCACTGCAAGTGGAAGCCCCGAGTTTGATCCCTGGCGCTTTTAAGCCACTGCCAGGCCCCATGCACTGCCTGGTGGGACCCTAGGGGCCCCCGGCACCACAGGGAGGGGCCCCCAAGTGTCGAGCGAGATTAAGGGACCCCTGGCTCGGGTGCGCGCTCATGCATGTGATATCAGGAGTCAGACGGCAGCTTCATTTACCCTAGTTCCTGTCTGCCAGGAAACAGGGTGTTGAGGGTTACGTAGGAGTTTTCCAAGCAAAGAGCACACGCAAAGCCTTTGCTTTTGTTTGTTGGTTTGGGGTTTTGGTTTTAGTCTCTTTATTTTCTGCAGGGAGGAGGATATCACAGAAACATGACAGAATAGGGCTAGAAGCATGTGTTTTTCTTTACAGACGAAACAACTGGGAGGTCAGGAATGCGGACAGAGGCACCCCCAAAGCATAGTGGTTAGGTCACCCATGGTTTCATGGGAGATCTTACATCTGAACAGAGGCTGGGCGATAGCACCGCGGGGAGGGCACCAGCCTTGCAGGAGGCCAGCCTGGCCTCAACCCCCAGCATCCTGTACGGTCCCGTACACCCCATCAAAGTGAGCCTTGAGCATCACTGGGCATGGCCCCAGAGGGTAAACGGGAGGTGCTGGAGCCATAGCACAGCAGGTAGGGCGTTTGCCTTGCATGTGGCCAACTCGGGTTCGATTCCCAGCATCCCAGATGGTCCCCCGAGCAGTGCCAGGAGTGATTCCTGAGTGCGAAGCCAGGAGTAACCCCCGTGCAATGCCGGGTGTGACCCGAGAAGAAAAAAAAAAAGGTAAATGCAAGAACTTCCTCACAAACAAACAGCAACCCCCTTACACTCGTGAGCATGTCGGCACTTTGCTTCCGGTTCAGGATGACTTAGCATGGCCCCGCGGGTGCCGCGGTCCCGCCTGCTGCTGCCCTCACGAGTCCCAGGCACGAGTGCCTCACCCCTGATTTCACCATCACTCTGTTGTTCTCTCTCCAGCCGTGAGCACTCGGGGCTCCGTGTTAGGCTAGAACATGCATTTCCCGATGGAACATCTGAAAACTCTGTAACGCTCTTTTCCCTGGGTGGCAGGAGTGAGCGAACACTGCGGAGTAGGGGTTTGGGGGAGGGGCGATGCGGCTGTTGACTCTAGAAGGGCTGATGAACAGTTGCAGACACAACCCCAACTTTCAGTCACATCCTGGGCGCCCTCTGGGGGCGCACCCTGTTTGGGAGCCTGGGGTCAGAGTTGGGGGTGGTGGCCCCATATTGTCCTGTGACCCTGTGTTTGAGGTCACTGGAAACTGTGTCCCTTGCGAGGATTTCTGTCCTGTTCCCACCCTCCTTTAAGACGAGCCAC